ATTCCCCTGTCCTCGTTCTACAAACAACCATAACTTTCATAATAAATGAATTTTTACACGCTTCCAGATGTGTTCTAGTTCACTATCTGTGGAATCCCTATCTGGACGAGAAACAATACCGAAAGACGACGGTTTGAGAATCCAGTATCCAGTTAAATTCTGCGCGGTTACAGCAAATAGTATAGTCCACAAGCAGATTGTTCACATTGTCTGTTGAAATGCAAAATCCCTATTGATCGCAGACTGTCAACCAGACACACACAAAGCACATATGCAATGACTCCTTAGGTGATCACCTGCTTAGAATTCGGGATCCCCCGGGAAACGGTATTCGTGTCACAAATGAATAACTCTGATCGATGAGACCGAATACAGAAAGTCCCAATGAATGAACGCACGATTCATTTCACCGATGTGGATTCACGCTGAACAGAAAACTGAATACCGCGTGTGAGGTGACCCCATCTCGAGGAGACTGTGATGATCAGGAATCAACACGCTGACTGGTGTTCCAATAAATGCAATCAAAGCAATTGCACACGGAACAAAAAAGGCAAAACCTACTGTACTGAAGTTGAAGTCTTATCGGAATTATCGAAAAGACTAACCTTTCGTAGAAGAGACCATTTATTAGGCCTTAGAATGTAAGTACACTAAACGTTCGTTTTCAAGCTAGCATTCAACATTCCAATCGCCCACGACTTCGCCATTGAAATAGATATCCAAAAGTCAGCAATCAAAACCGCCGCACCCAACTGTATGGCCAATAGACGTATAGGCTAAAACATGGAGTTCGCTTTTGATTTATCCCTATTCCACCGAAGACTGACTCGAGGTTGTTCAGAAATTGTGCCTAAGAGTAACCCCATTACACGCCAACCCGACAGTATGTGAGTGTCGTTCCTCCACAGACTACCACTGTTATAAATCTGCAAAACCGCTACTGTACTGTGGGAAGTTGTTCGTTCGAAAAGAACATGAGTAGGGCTAAGTCGGATTAATTAGAACGAAGCATTTCATTTAAAACCGATTGGTAATACATCCACAAAACACTGGGGGTTGGTGGTGGAAGAACCCAAAGATAAATTCGCAGCTTCTGTAGCTATAACGTTATATCTTTTAGTACGCTCCCAGATGGCACCATTGCGTGCGCATGCAAAGCACTACTCACTAATTTGAGTAGTTATTCACACTACTGCTCCTAATCTAACCCATCCATCAAATATATATGAACAGAAACTCTTTAATATCTTATTTTTCTAAGGTTCTGACTGATATTTAGTCCCTATATCTACAATCTAAGTCGCTGTGGATCTGCATTTTTCATACATACAGTAAGCTCGTTCATCATTTTGGCAATATCGCACACCTATGACCTCCATTTTGGATGAAAGCTTATGTCCGATGGTTCAACACAAATATTAACAGGCCAAAGTATGTCTCTTCGCGGCCATCTTGGTACAAAAATCAGTGTCCATGCCGCGATACTTGACTGCCAACGACACTGGCAAGTCGAAATTCAGAAGACCTCAGTTTAAGCACCTGGAAGCAGCTGTGATCGAGAAGTTGTTCCTACCCCAACTGGACATAACCCTTAATTAGCTAGAAATATAAAAACCAGTGCCAGAATGAGAAGCGCCCAAACTGTTTGAGGGGTCTCTCCTTTATTGACACACATACACTTCATACGTAAATATACTACAAAAGAGGAATTCAAAATGTACGTATGCCCTTAACAACCACATCAGTCCCAAGTCAACTCAGCGGTGTACAAAGCGTCCTAGCTATCCGGGTACGGATGGTGGAACAGAACTGTAGATCTGTGAGGTTGAAAGCAGTTGAGCTACCAAGCATATCATTTTGCATGCAATTCGTTCTGCGTGTATGCAGTAATCGAGAAGCGAGCAGCCAGAGGAGTTCCCTGTGGTATGGTTAGATTGAACACACAGGAAAACAGTGGTCGAAACTTAGAATCTGATCGGTGAATTTTTTGTTGTTGATGAAACAGGAATGGCATATGCACGGGGATGAAACCAAGGTAATACTCATGTCAAATTTATCGCAAAAATGGAGCATATTCGTCACAAAAACGTGCTACAGAAATTATGTGCCGTTCGACTTCGAACTACACACACAANAAACTATGCCCTAATGACTACCTCCCCCGTCCTGTGAACGACAAGCTGAGAAATTCGAATTGGGAGTGGAAGCCCCATAATCCTGAGCTATATGTATGCATACAGCATGGATCACATAAGAAATTGTTTAACCCAGGAGCAGTAGATAGTTTTATTGAAAAATTTTTTAAACATATTACAGTCGAACACAAACTGAAAAGCCGCGTTCGTCCTCGTGTCTAGATGGAGCATTTTAATAGGTGAAATAATGCATCCAGTGCCAGATCATCATATTTACTTTACTGCGGCTGGCTCCTTAGAAAAGATAAGCCAGTTACAGACATGATCATGATCATGAAGTTACTTGGGAGTTTGGTACGAGAGACGTCCGCAGCATCATTCGGCGTTTTTCATTTGGAGGGTGCACGCCTGGCCTTTGCACAATCAAGTGTGTGAACTGCAAGACAGCAGGAATTAATCCCTTGCCTCGGAAGTGAGGGGGTCAATGATTTTAGTTTTAAAAGCCCAGTCACATCTACCTTTGTTACGACACCGTCATCGAGTTTATGCGGCTTTTAAACAGGAGCCAGGTGACCAGCCTGAACCCCACCACACCCTAGTAGTGCCGCCGCTGTTTGTTCGCGACTGATGTTTCGGTAGGCCAAAACTTATTCACAGCTAACCTTTTTCGGTGAAGATATTCCCTATCCACAACCTGGGGACGCGCCTGGAAGTATTCAGCTCTGCTTAACCCGACGTCATTCAACATAAACGACAGTGTTTCTTTCCGGTCAATGCTTAGCCTATCCAGTCTACATTATGACCACTCACTCTTTCTTGTGTGCAGCCCGATAGAATGATTCTGTTTAAATGTGGTCCCATGGCGCCACATTTTTCAATGTGACCAGATTCAGTCAATGAAAATATGTCGCTCTGTGATGTACCCGAGACCCCGGAATCGGAAGAGACGCCGATTAGTCGTTCAAAGGCAGGACAAATACATTTAATATGTGAATTTCGTCGTTCAAACAGCCAAACAAACTTGAACAGAAAATCTAGGAAGCATTCGCTCATGCAGGACACATTAAACTTTGCAGTTCAATGCACTTGCGGTGAGAATGGATGGTACCAAACACAATCGAGAGCGGATGTACCAAAGCTGAGAACCGATACCACAAGGCTAAGTGGAATTTGTAGGAAAAAAAACAGAACACGATTATCCCCGCACCATGTCCGATTTCACTTGAAACAATACACATTTTGTCTGAAAAAGGACAAACAAATTCACGCGCTCATAGCACGGGGGAATAAACAATCGCATGCACAGTTGAGTGGACCCGAGTGAAACTGGCCACTTACATCACCGTTTGTCTGTTCAAACGACGCACGTGATTTCAGTCGACTTTGAATCACGGATGCCACTTCGGCCTGTCGCGCTTCCTTCAGAGCTCGTGACCGAGCTTGGATCGAATCCCCGTTATCGACCGCGGTGCATACAGGTTTCACCCAACCCAATGGTTTCTAATTCAAATATATAGAACGGGGCAATCACAAGCAGAAAATCGTGACCAATTCTGCACCCAAAAGAATGTTAACAATTCAACAATTATTAAACCGCACTTAGCTTTATTACTTGTGAGTAGTGTTGTGGGATAATTGTTATTGATTGATTGATTGATTGATTGATTAATTGATTGATTGATTAGAACTGATCAGCCTTCAGATTTCACCTTCACGTACATTCCTCAGCTCTTCCAGTCGATCATGCACTCGGAAGCACTAGACTCGAGTTTCGCTTTTATTAGAGCTCATAATTCGTGAATATCCGCCATCCCGTTCGGGATTTGAACTCCGGATGCACCGCGTGAAGGTGAAGTCTGAAGTACGGTCAGTTCTAATCAATCAATCAATCAATCAATTATTAAATCATTGCACATTGTCCAAGCTTAAAACATTCAGTCATGTTTGATAGATAAGTACAGAAGTCAAATGCAACTTACTATGATGTAGCATGTCTATTAGCTCATGTGATTCAATTAAGTTGGGGAAAACGCTTATTTAATTTCTCCTCCACCCCCCACCCACCCCCCATTCCCAACAACAATCACTACTAAAGCCAATCTATCATCTTCTTTTCACTCCCCCTTCTGGCCCCAAACTGCATCCACAGAGAATTCTGACTGCCAACTGGTGTGCCCCCTTCCCCGCCCTGGCTATCCGAAAATTGCACAACTCGGCTGGTGTAAAATAATGAAAAGAAGCAGTGAACACTATTGCAATCTTTGGGCTAGCTAGGAAACCGGCCGCTGTTCGATGGATGCATTCACTCTGATTTTTCAGAAACTGTGGCAACGTTTTCTTCGCGGGGCACAGTATGTTTGAGAGAAAGAGAGAACTAACTGGCAAAACTAACACGTGGATCGATCGATAGTTCAACCTCTCCATGTCTTGCATTGTCAAGAGTGACACAATTTGATAGATCAGGTGTTAATGCAATATCCTTAAAATGGATGGTTGTTTGGGATCTGTCCATCTGACACTGGGTACGTATGCCAGCGATCCTGTCCAAACAGGGTTTATTCGAAAAGGATGTGGAACACTGACAAAAAGAAGAAGATATCTAACGCAGTTGTCGCGGTAGCTTGGGTCCACAAAGTGTAACACCCTTGGGACGGATGTACCACATACGTGAAAACCGAATCCAAATTTAAGTCCACGTCACCNGCCCTAAAGCGAGGAGTTCCAACCCTGCCATTGCTAGCCGACTGTGGTGAAACACACCATTGTTATATAGTCTTATGCTATTGGCTAGTCTAAACCTCATGGTCATGGTTATCGGTTCCGATAAACGAACAGATAGAGGGATTATTCAACGCGTAAAGTGATCATCACACTAAGATGTGAACTGAAAACATCTTATGGTTCAAGATTTATTTTTCTAGAATACTTTTCTCCATCGGTTGTAGGTGACTGGTTAAGACAGACTATCCGTCCACTTATGACGGACAGTCTATCGGAGCACTTTTGAGGACNNNNACACAGTCTGAAAGAGACGGGTGTTTGAGCCGGTGGGAACACATTTTAAACGACGAACAACAGGGCCAACGATCGGTGACAAAATCAGCTGATTTCCCTGCCGGGCAAGTGATCAAACAAACATAAAACGCGTTTACCGTTCTAGAAGAAAAAACAGCCAAGATTATGGTCATTTAAATGAACCTTTGCTCGGAGAGCATTTAACAGACGAACTGATTGGGCAAAAATAGCGCTCGAGGATTAACCGGAAGTTTCGTTAAATAAAAGTGATACCACGCAGACAGTTTAAGTTTGTCAGTATGAGGTCACCGCGCCCAGACTTAGTTAGTCAATGAAGACAGTATAAATGCCATAAAGTGATTGGGAAGAAAAAAATGCAGATCACTAAAAAGTGGACCCAACTGATGGAAAGACTGCAATGGGTATGACAAACTGGTGCACGCGTATGGTGTGAGCAGTTGTTGCGTGAGAATACAGCTTGGTGAACAAGCTTCCTGCCGATGATTTACCGACCGGTGTATGTATACCCTAATCTGCAGTACGCAATTTTTTACAGAGGCAAACTGGGAGAAACAGTACAGTGGATAGTTTCATAGACCGGATGTGGTTGAATTGGGGATCATTTGGGTCCCTGCGAGTGTGTCAATCATATTAAGGGGTTCATGGGGGAGGGATTATTGGCGAACAGAACGTGTCCACTAATAGTCAGGAGTACATTGAAGGATAGGGGGGGGAAGATCCTTTTCACTTCCGTTGTGAACATGACACGATTCACCAACAGAGTTGTTCCTCCTTGCTACATGATTAGATTAGATTCGGCAAAGAGTCGAACGACCAGACTTGTGTTCCTTATTATCGGAATTATATATAATTTGTCTCACTGGGATGAGCAAACACTGTTTTGGGGACTGCAGAAGTGGAACTCGTGTCTCTGAGTTTAAACCACGAAAGCGATCTGCATGTACACACTAGGACGTGATTCCATGCCAATATACTAACTGATATGATGATTGACTTTTCAAGAGGACTACGTGCTTTGAGGCTAGTTTTAATTGCTAATTATATAGTACAGTAAGATCCTCCGAAAGAACTGCATGAAACCAGGGAGTTGGCGATTGATCCCCTCGCATTGTCATATGTGAGAGTGACGTGAAAAAAAAACTAAAGAAGTGAATATCACAGTTAAGAGATCCTACTACGAGCACGCGTCCCACACTGCACATCTGATTAGAAAAACACAACACAACCCTTTCACAAGAAAAAAACAATCATTCCTAAGAAAGCGTCCACACTAATTAGGAGAAAAATCAATTTTGGAAGGGTTTTGAAAAAATGTACTTTTTCTTTTCTAAAGAATACATTTCACTTCTAATCAGTATGACTGCAAATCCTACAAGTGTCACTTTGATGCCACGGAAGATTTGCTGCTACCGGGCAAAAAACACCCTACTTTGTATCGGCCAAGTCTTCAAATGTATCGCCAACCAGAGTTACCCGCCCAACACTGATGGTTAGCACCGATGTACAGCAGCTTCCGTCACACGATCATGCGGGTTCGATGCCCATTCCAACCTCAAAAAATATTCAGTGACATGTAACCGAGAAACCGGCCTCGAATTGGTGGTTGGGTTTCAGTGAACTCTTGATCCCAGGTCGAAACTGAAATGAGACGCTTCATGCGTCTGTCTTTATTTTGATTAACTATTTTTGGGACGGCCTCCGAAAGCCTCAATACGGTCCGGGGTGGGTGTCTAGGGTTGCCGTTGGTCACCCATCCCGTGCAACTCGCGAAATGCTCCCATAAGACCAATCATCTCAAATATCCTCTGCTGAGGAAACCCTACTCACTGTCTCCTCGTGATGGACGTTTTACCACCGAAGTGAGGGGACAAAAAGCCAATATCCGGGGCTATAATCGGTTCGGTGAACCATCCGCAGTTCACCTAGGGGAGTTGGTTGAAAACCCTGATTACAAACCAACCAAGAGGAGACGTACGAACACACGCCTTTCTGGTGGTGGTAATGGTCACCCGCTCGAGTGGGCATCGAGATGTATCAGGCACCTTGGACGTTGGATCCCGTCCAATGGCCGCATGATCCGATGAACTGGACTCCGGCCCACAATGGATTGCGGTCTTCACAAACAGCCCCGCTGCCTTGCGGATCACGTTTTGGTTAGCCAAAGGCTCAGGTTGTGAACTCCCTAGTTAGATTCACCTGCCTTGGCCTGGGCAGTACTGGCAGTACTAGACCCACATGCAAATAATGGAATCTTTTTCGTTTCTATAAAGATTGTTGTACCATGATTTGTTTGGCGCGCAGTCTAAACTCAGACGTGATATGGGACCTGATATCACGAGCGAATGCTATTGTTTGTCAAGCAATCAACCCACTGAAAATGTCCGATATTTTACATTTGGTTGTTGTAGTTCGAATCCGACAGTAAAAATACCAAATTATTGTGTTTGCGTGGTGGAACCGAATATTGGAAAACGTGAGAAGTTCGCACAAATCTTCGAACAGCGGCGGTATCATCAAACGAATGATACGGTGTGAGATCAACTCGTGGATGACCGTCTGGGAGAACAGATAAATGATCACCCGGGAGCGATTGTAATTGATGACCAAACGCGTGATGGATGATGCATCGTGTGGCATGGGTGAGAGCGACGGGGACGAGCGAGCACTGGGTAATGATTAGTTCACCCGAGAGTTGGAGTTGATGTAACTGGCAACAGAATGTTTTTATCGATTTCAGACGGACGAATCACAAGCAGACAGCTAAAGTCTGAGGTGCGGTAAACCCCGCGCTGAGTCATCCTGTGTTGACAACACGCGACCCATGCGGACGAGGAGTACGAAATGCATCACACATCCTCGCTACGTATTTGGAATTCATGAAATAACGGAGTGCACTTTGTGAACGGGAGGTTATTGAAACCGAAGCCGATTCGTGCATGCACTACGCTACTCAGGCATTCATCTAGGGGTGTTCGAGTGAGCGGCAGGTGCTCAAAGCCTTGTCCACTTACCGTTATCAATTATAAAATGGGAAAGGTAGAGCTGAGGTGAAAAAAAATGAAGCAGTTTGATCGATATCACGGGGATGTTAATTGAATTCTTGGCAGATCCGTCGACGAAAATTCACGTAAAATGAGTTCAGTGATAAAATATCAAACATTCGTGACACAATGTAATGCATTTGCATTCATATTTGACGAAAGTTGTGCAAGGTGTGTGCGCTTGATTCCAAAGTTTAACGATTCCCGTCACCGGGATGGATGATAACCTATACACATAACCGACAAAAGCGGTTATTTAAAAAAAAACATATGGCTCGATGGAGTAACCGAGAAGGAGCACTGCTTACCAGAAATTACTGCGTGTCATAACACAGCACATGATAGTAAGGTTTAACTTCGCAGTTCGCGCGGCTTACGTGGAGAATCGCGGGATAACTGAATGATGGAGTAGTGGAGCAGTTTGAGGTGGCGAACCGACTGAAACCGTGGTCTCGCAAACAAAAATGTAAATTCTACTTCACCATTGTTAAACAGGTTCATGCAATCGTGTTTTTTAGGGGGGGGGGGGNCGAACATTTTTTATCAAACTTCCTTCGGTCTCTGGGTTTGCATCTGGTGACGACTGTGCAATACACAATACGCCGAACAGCCTTATGCAATTATAATTACCATGTGAAGTGAACCTATCGAAAACGAACGCAACCACATGATTGTATGGCCTGCTGTCTCGTGAATCAGGTGTGGATTAACCGAAGGCCCCCGTTGTGAATCCCTTACCTGCTTTGATCTAAGTAACCCGATAGTATTGTACCCACAAACAAACGAACTGATCTCATTGATATGGATGGAGATGTAGCGTGATTTGTGTTGCACATAGTTTGAGATCTCAGTGTGACAAAAAAATCAATAAAAATGTACGTGATACAGTTGGTTCAACTCACTTTTGCTTTCGGAGGAGCCGTTACGTTCGGACCAGATTGTTGTTGTTGTTGCCAGAAGTTTCGCTGGTTGACAGATTTAGGTATTTCTGTGGCAGGATTGATTCGTTTATACACGGAACCCTGCAGTTTTGAGGTGAGAAACAGGTGGAGCATGCACTTAAGCAATCAGTAAGAATAATCAACTTCTACCGATTGAGATGTTCAACCATTGGTGAAATATTTAACGACAGAGACTTCAGATCAATGAATTTCCATTATCAGACTTAGAGCATGTCCTTCAGGCATACTAGATAATGTTATGATCAAGAGAAATGAGAGTGGCCTAGCTGGCGTTACTTGTAACTATCCCAAAGTTAGGATTTCAAAATTTCACATCTCAGTAGTGATAGCAAAAGAAAAAGAAAAACTGTTCAATCTTAAAATGTTTCACATTTTTCACTGCCCATCCGTTAAGGTTTGTTTGTAGATATTCCCGGTAAGATACTACTAACAGTTTATGAGTAGTATTTCTGATGCGAGCACAATGACGCAATCAGCAGCTGTTTAGGACAGTCAACACTTAACAAGATATCCTGCAGCTGAATAATGAATTCTGTTCTGTAACCGCAAAACATAAAAACAAACCGTGGCAGCGCTTGACCACCTATCCATATAAACGTGACTTATCTGTTTCACATTGCATGCTTCATTTCGAGTAATGAGGTTTATCTTCTTATGAAAAACCCGGAACTCTCTTTTCTCGTTCACCTTCTAGTAAATCGGGCACCAATTATTACACGGCTGCTTGAACACCTCATGCATTAGTTTATTTATCCATTTTAACGTACCACTATTTGCAGTTTGTTATCCTCTTTTGTTTAATCTATTCACACTCTGATGCGATCCAACCACCCCTCTCAATTCCATTGTATTATCGTGAAAAAGTCGCATGAAATTTCTCCCTTCGGGTGCATATAGCTTACTTTGACTTGACTTGGCAGATCTCATGGTACGATGACACACTTCATTGATAACAGAAAAATATTCCGGAACTTATTTATCACATCTGTTCACCGTTAGAATGCTTCACGGATCAGATCCGCTAGTTCCGACGGGGTTTTGTTTTTTTCAGTTCTACTTCACAGCAATCTGGTAAATCAGTACGCGGGCAGCGGGAGTATGATCAAACAAAAGTGTTTCGGAGTGTAGTTCAGGCCAAGTTGAGACCAAACACACAAATATTTCACACAGTGATCACATTCACATGAAAGTGGGGGCATGTGGTGGTAAACTTTTGATGGAGAGCGAGAGAGAGCAAGAGAAGCTGCGTGATATGCTCTCACAGTATGAAAAGGAGTCAACACGGCCAAAAAAGATCTATCGCATCCGGCTCAAAAATGCAAACACAAAAATGGGTCAGGTGTAACGACGACACGTTATTTCAGGGTAAAAAAATTTTTGAACGGTTCCAGAGGACAGATTGATAAAATTTTGCAAGATGAAAACACGAACCGCTGGCTTTAGTCTACTATAGCATGATGCCGAGGCATTTAGTGAGTAAAACAAACACCAGTCTGTTTCATTATGGACAAACAAGCTAGAGTTGAACTGGTCTGTGAGAAACTTTTCATCTGACACGCCTCTGAATTGTGGGTACCGGATGTGTTGCGTGATGAACAACAAAGATCCACGAACATCGTATCGAATCCATTCGGATTGGGAGTCAAAACCCCATGCACGACCAGCAAACAATACCTTGAACGCGCGGCAATCAGTATAACATGTTCGCGTTTAAGCCAACACTAATTCCACATAACAGCGGGGTTGGTGTTTTGGCTATCGAACTGGTTATTGTTTTCTTGCAACCCGTGACAAGCCAAGACGGTTTATGTTCTCGGACCCCTTGAGAGAACTGTCTCATCGTTCGTCCTACATAACTTGTCGAACATGTGCAAGTGGAGGAATATGTAACCACAGATGAGGAAAGGATGGACAGCTTGTCCCTGAGGTTTGTGCAGAGCTGTGGTCGGCTTGTAAACATCATAGGTAGAGTGTTGGTGGATATGTTTGTGCAATTGCTTTTTTTCACACGTTTTTTCACCATATCACCACTCGTATCACCTTTGAACGGGAGATGCAAGAAAAGTTCTATGAGGTGCTTTTCAATGAAATCCATTATCCATTATTCAGGAGTATAGATTTGATAAATCTAAGTTCTTTCTCCACTAGATCCTTGGAGTAAATCATTCGAGTTCTGAAGGCCAGACACTGGACTAAGTTTCGTTTAAATTTGATTGGGACGAAAATTTGGAAATGGATGTATTGACCGTTCCATGTTGGTTATCGAAAAATCGAACGCCAAAATTTTCCACTCGGCCCCTTCATCAGGTTGACGTCGAGGAAGTGGAACGTATTCTCATTTTGTTTCCATCGTAAAGTCGATTGACGGATGAGCTCTGTTAAAACGATCCAATATTATGTTCGGTAAAATATTTTGATCGGAAAGGATAAAAATATCATCACCATAACAACAGTATAGAGGGAGTCAATGAATTAGGTCTAGTAGTTGGTTGTTTTCCAGTTTGGCTACGAACACATCTGTAAGAAGTGGGTCAAGTGGAGAACCCATGACTACACCGTCCGTCTATCTGTAGACTGTGTTATTAAAATAAAATTGGACATTTTATGTACGTCGCAATAATAGTTCTATCAAATACCAATTCGCACGTTTTCCTCATCGTTGTATTGGCAGAAATCAGACACCATCTCAAACAGTAGCACATTTGCAAAAAGTGATTGTATGTCCAACGAGATCATTTTCAATTCTTTGACGTCCAGGTCCCGAATTATATGGACAAATTCAAACGGTAGAAGCTGCAGCAATCAAAATCATGAACCCACCACTGTGCAAACAGAAGAAAATGGTAGCCGCACTCCAGTTGCCTTGACCCCAACCAAACCTACGTGATGATTCGAATCATGACCTCGATCGTGTCGTGATGACGCAACAGGGCGTGACAAATTGCACGCGATAAAGGTCATCGGAAATTGCCAGAATGGACCTTGGCCCCCTTCGTCCACTGATTCCATTTTCTCCACTCGCTCTTAATAAACCTTACAGAAATTGCTGTATTTTCACACTCAACCTCAATGGACCAAGCAGATTTATTTCTACATTAGATATAAACATACACACACACACACACACACATAACTGTAAATGCCTGAAGATGAAGTTACAAAAACAAGCTTGTCCGCGATATTGTTTGTCTTTTAGCAGTTCACCGCATTTAGCCAACCATCGGCTGTGTTGACTCCGATAAAGCAGTTCAATGAATTACCTAATTTCACTTCAGCCAGATTGGAGTCTTCTCTGTCGCCAGAATGAAGCCATTTTCTGTAGTTCAATTTAGGGGTACCTTAATGTTTTAAAACTTGCTGACCGGATGTTTATCTGGTTAGGTATTGATAGCATACATGAATCTATCCATGAGAGGCTATTAAAATGGCTCCAAACTTGCGGGTTTCCCAAACTATATCTCATCACGGTGAATACAGATAGAATGATCTGGAATTGCGTATGGGACAAGCAAAATCCAAGAAAGACACATAAAACGTGTTTCATATGGTGATATGGAAAACGCGCGTCAGGATGTGTTGGCATATCAGCGGGGCTAAGTGTCTAGGATGATTGACTGTAAACGACAAAAAGGGCATCAATGGCTTTACCAACCTCAGTTAAATTGTTCTTTTAAACCAAGTCTCTCCCGGGTCTAGTACAGCTGACAAATTGTGTTGATCAGTACGGTATAACGGTTATGCCCAAAGACCATCAGAATGAGGCCCAGTGGGATATGGGTTGACCGCGAAGAAAGAGGATGACGCCCTGAAATCGCACAATTGAGAGTATAGGAATGACTCACCCAAAAGCTTTAGTTACAAATAAACCCTCCGGACCTTGGGGACCGGTTGAACATGGAAGTAGCCAGCCAACTGGCCGGCCGGCCGGCTGGCTGGCCAACCCAACAGGCAGTTTATATCGCCTTGGGACACACATACACACACACACGCACACAGATAGACTAGTGTGACTGTCGCAATCACGATTCGCGGGCAATGCGCACACTGTTTTGGACACGGAATCTGGCACACAAGTACTGGTAACGAGGTAAATATAGATTACGATAGGAACCACCGTGCAACTGTCCCAACACAGGGAAAACAAAACTGACAGGACTAGATGAATCACAGTAAAAGTGATCCAGCAGCACGCGTAAGCATATATACACACACATACAAAGGGAAATGCGAAGTGTGCATCCTATAGCACGTACATAGTCTGCAGACTGGGGAAACGAAGATTGAGTGACTCATTGAATCAGTCGTTGCTTAGTACATGTGTGATGTAAAGCGGTGGTGATGATGTATGTGGCCGTGTTGAGGTCCAGACGAATCCGTGAGATAAGAAGACCCACGTGCAACAGAACGCGACACAATTCCCGTGACGACCTATTTATGCCTCGGTCCAGGTAGTCCGTTGTAACCGGCACAAGGGAGACTCCAAACGTAACCTGGTGTTGGCACGCGACAGGACGGTCGCGGCTACAATCGATTGGTGGAAAAAACGCCCTTTTACGCAAAGCGGTTGACGTTGTGGTACGTTGTTTGCCGAAGCCATAAAACCGCTGATAATCGCAAATTTCTGATACTATTCGTCATATCACGCTACTACTACTACTACTACTAACGGTATTGAAGAAGCCAAGTATTTTCGACTCGGACTATTTCCCGAAAAAATGGGTCACACGGCAAGTGAGACGCAGAAAAACGCGTGTCCGACTTTAACGGTTAGAAGTCAGCTCATAAACTCGACAGTTCATCGTTTGACCGTGCGCTAGCGAAAACTGGGTGGAAAAAATTATATCTGGTGCACTCTAATCAATGCAATGCTATGCATTTGAAATGCAATTTGCAATCCATGTGACGTTAGAATTGAAAGAGAGAGAGAGAGCAAAGAACTCAATGCACTTTGACGTCACAACTTACCACGTCGATTAGTATTCTGTACACAATGTTCGTGAGTAGTCGCAATAGAGTGTTTAGGTTTTCTCGATTGATCGATCAATTGTGCTAAGGCTTCGTCCGCTGCTGTGAAGAATGTCGGCTTACATAGG